TTATCAAAGAATTCCCGAATAAATGTCTTTTATTCATTTTAAAACATTGGGATGTCAGTATCAATACAGAAACATAAGCATAAACAGATCTTACATTCATTTACACTAGTGATCTACATCTCTCCTTAATCTCTCAGTGTAATGTAGTTTCATATTGACACTTGTGATACAAATAAACTGAGTGGGTCAGGTTGGGAAACCTAGTGAGTACATAGGGTTTTCAACCCACAATAATATGGTTATTATGTTTAAACATCAAACAATTAACCCAATTATCCACCCCATCATCTTCTTTATTCTTAAGTATCCTCCCTATGAATAATCTATTCATCATTATTTATTCCTAAGGATTGTCCTAAAGAATAGGCAAGGAGTCCATCGTTTCCAGGGTTTATTCAATAGACACTAAGTCCATAGTTTCCAGGGTTCATCCAACGAGCGCTAAGTCCATAGCTGCCAAGGTTATCTCATTTATTGACAATATTATTTTCGGGAGTCCACCCGCAATACGTGTCAAGGGGTTTTTAGAGTACACCGGGTGAACGTCTCATTCAAAACACCTACAGGTTGCGAGCCTGCTAGTGTTCCACCAGACTGTCTAGAATAGTATTTGGTTGTCATCTACATTTTGTTAGATGATGGGACCAACGCTTGGGTAAAGGCTCTACTCATTTTTCACCTCTCACCCTCATCTCATGATCTTTATCACCTTTCATCTCATCATCCAACTCATCTTTCATTTACCCATCTTTACCTATCATAATTATATGTATAAAATACATATAATAAAAAACAATTAAAACATGTATATTTTTGTTCATCCAGCATAAATATTAAGTACACATATAATATGCACACATAACACGCAACTTATATTAAATACTTCATATCTATGTGTAAGATGAAAGTAATTACCCACTCACTTGTCAAAGTGATGATTTCAAACTCGGGAAGCGGTTCGCTTCTAACGATTCTATTTTCCTTCGACGAAACCTAACATTATTATCGCTAAGTTTTAGTCTAATCTTTATTGCGACAAGTTATTAGTCTAGATTCATCATTAACTCAAAGTCTACTTTCATGATCTATTAAGTAAGGAACAACCATGTAGGATCATATCGGAGGTAGGGTCCGTTGTTTGGAAATCCCACTTTAAACACCTCACTAAATCACAACCTAGACATCATCTCCATAAGTAGATCAATCAGTATAATGACTTGGAACCACTGATAAATCTTGTTTATAAGTTCATTATAACGATAATGAACTTAAACATAAGTTATACTAAAAGTAGGGTAAACATAACTCACTTACCGGGGGGTTTGGCTAGGAACTGGGGTCTGCGGGGGCAGAACTTCCGAGCCGAAAAGCTCTTTTTCCCGGAGTCGTCTGGTGCTCTGGAGCTTTCTTCTAGCACTAGGGGAGTTTCCTAGGGCTTTAGGGGGGGGGGGGGAGGTTTAGAGAGAGTTTAGAGTGAGAAAGAAAGAGCGGAAGGTGTGAGAAATGAAGGCACATTCGCATGCTATTTATAGGCTGAAATATTGCTTAACTCGTCGAGTTGGGGCCTCGAACTCATCGAGTGGGTGCCAGATGTCACCCTCTCGTGGCAAGGCTTGGGGAGAAAGCAATGACCCAGATCCAGCCACGTCACCCTCTTCGCAACAGCATCCTACCGACTTCTAAACCCCGTAACTCTCGCATACAAGCTCCGTTTTTGGCGTTCTTTATATCCACGCGTAGGTGGATACATATTCTACAAATTTCGTTTAGACTCCATCGGCAAATTCTCAACCGATTTTAAATTTAACAGTATGAGAATATTACACTGTTTACGACAATGTAAAATTCATAACTTCTACATATAGACTCCTTTTTCGACTGTCTTTTTATCGTTGAGTTCCTATTAATGAGATATTCAATTCTCATTTAGGTTGTGTCAGCTAAAAATCACTCGATTTGAAATTTCAGGTTGTGCACTACTATGCTAAATCTTAGAAAAATCATAACTTCCTCATACAAAGTAAAACTTGGATGTTCTTTTTATGCACGTTCTCGGTTTAACGTATACTACTACTTTCATTTAGATTGCTAAGGCTAAAAAGTAATTTATCCAAAATTCACTTTTTACATTACGCGGTGCCGTGCCGGTTTAGCCATAGAACTTCAATGGGTTATAACTTCTTCGTTATAACTCGGATTTCAGCGTTCTTTATATGTACGGAACCCTTCTGACATATACTATAACTTGGTTAAGATTATTTATTCTAAATAATCTTCTATCAAAAAGTCATTTTTGACGCTTATTGTCTCCGTATTGACTAGCCCAAATTTGGAGGCGTTAAATTTATGCATCTAGAACATCAGAAACACAGAGAATGGCAACTCATAGCTCCTGAAGTGGTACCAAACCACTAGACCTCATTCTTGGGACCAAAATAAACCAAAAACTCATACATGCTAGATCTAGGACATCAATGATCAAGTTCATAGATTTTTACCTTAAACAAGCCGAAAATGAAGCCTATAATTTAGATCCATAAGCTCTTCCTTGATCCCCATCCTTACATCAAACTCCATCTTCTTGGAAATGGACCAAATACACCAAAAATGGACACCATGAGCTCAAAATACCATCATGAAGGATAAAGGGAGATTTCTAGGGTATTGGGGGCTTAGAGGCTGGTAAAAAGGCCACCCCTAAGGACTTAAGGTGCTTATATAGGGTACAATCACTTAAAATTAGGGTATTCCTCTAACCCTCGTACGCCTAACATACAAGGCTTCATATTCCCAAATAACACTTGCACTACGCTCAACATAACCCACACTAGGCCTTGCGTACACTTCTTCACAACAGTACGTCCCACGTACTCCCTAGGTACGCCCTACGTACTAAGGTTTCCCCACAAGCCCTACACATTCTGAAGGCCATAACTTCTTCGATACACATCCAATAATGACGATCCATATATCCATGAAAAGGTAATGAAAAGCTCTATGCTTTAACCAACTCATACTCACCTTACCATATCCCGAACAAACATCCATTTTGAAAGAAGCTTGAGCTGACAAATTACCAAAATACCCGTTAACTCCAAAACACAAACCAAATACTTGGATCATCCAATATACATCATCCACCTCCAAATGAGCCCAAAAAAGAACTTCTTTAAGGATCTTAAGTCTGCTAATAGCCAATCCTTGATCACTACCCCGAAATGGAACGATCTGAAATAGGGTGTTACATTTCGACTACTATCACTAAAAGAAAAATCGTCGTAACCCATGAGATAAGGATTTTGAAAGGAAAAAGGTCAAAAATGGAGTTCGTATGAAGGAGATATGATTTTTAGAAAAATATAAAATACAGGTTAAAAACGAAAGTCAAAATTTGACAACACAACCTTGAGGAAAGTTGTATAGTAGAGAGCTACACAAATATATAAAGAGGGTAAGAAACAAGATTCATATAAGGAATATATTAATTCTTATAAAAAAATTTAGGAGTGCGTGACATGCCTAGCGCACACACATAACACCTAGATTCGTCGAAGATTAGGGAGACATGGACCATCAAAAGTATGACACATGGCAAGCTCTGGATGGAGCCATGAAATGAGTGCACGTCGCGCATGAAGTGCACCGTGCGCACAACCCTTATAAATAGAGGCACTCACTTTCTGATTTTCTCATCCCAAACACTCTTCCAAAGACCCTCCCTATACCTCTCAAGCTGTTTCGGAGACCCTGTCGATGACGCGAAGCTTCAGATGCAATGACTCGGATGCTTTAGATAACATTACAAGAGTGCGTACATGGCCCTTATTTTCACTATTTTAAATGTTTTACGGGGGAAATACATGATTATCAAATGGTTTTATCAAAATATATTGATTGTTACAAATATCAAATCATTTTATAAAGCTTAAAGCCTTAGGATAATGTAGTTATAGATATTATGTCTATTTATAAGATATGATATTATGTCTAAGAGATATGATGCCCGATAGTCTATGAAGAGATAATACCTAGATGTTCTAATGACCAAATCCCTAAGATAACATAATACCTAGAAGTTATGTTGGTCAAATATAAGGATATGCATTGTAGTTAGTTGTTACTCTGCCCAAATATGATGTTTCAAATAACCAAAATTAGGGTACATATATATATATATATATATATATATATATATATATATATATATATATATATATATATATATGAACACTTATATATACAAAATAATTATGAGATCTAAAGTTATAATTATCAATTATAAGATAAAAGATTTATATTATGATGGTTATCGAAAATACCTAGGAATGAGTAATATAAAAGATACAAGATAAAAGATAAAAGATAAATACATAAGGTCAATGTGTTAGTGAGTCGTGAATTCATCCAAAGTAGACCTGGCAAGCGTGTCGTGTCGTGTCGGGTTTGTGTTGTGTCAAGACATTAAACGGGTTGAAAGGGCTTGACCCTAACCTGACTCGTTTAATTATCATGTCGTGTTGTGTCAACCCGTTTATTTTCATGTCGGGTTTCGGGTTAAGGTTTAGACTTTATAAGTATGTTGTGTCATGTCGAGTTGAAATATTTTAAAGGTTGGAAAGTATGAGTTGTGAAGGCAAAAAGGAAAAAGTAAAACACTGGAGTTATGAGATAGAATGACAAAGTTTATAGTAAGTTTAGAAGAAAAAATTAAAAGAGTTAAAATTGGGGAGCAAAAGGGATAAGTGGTGAGGATGAATAAAATTAAGTAACTTGAAATTTTGAATATTACTTCTAATTATTGAGTTTAACCCACTACAATTCTATAAAATATAATATATTTATAAAAATATGAAATCTATAATAAATAACATATAATTAAACGGGTCATATTAGTCATCTTCGAGTTAAAAGTTTTGACCCTAACCCTACCCGTTTAACTATCGTGTCGTGTCATGTATACCCGTTTACATAAACGTGTCGAAATCTCTGACCCTAACCCGCTAATTTCGTGTCGGATTTTCATGCCGTAAAGCCAGGTCTAATCCAAAGGCCTTGAATTCGGCATTCTCCCAATACCTATAATCATTAATCCTGCAAGAGACGGTGGTGCCAAATTCACTTGGTAGACCTTGTACCAGTTGTAACACAAGTCGATTTTGGCTGACCGGACTTTCAACATCACTCAATTTAATAGAAAGTTCCTTGAGGCGTTGACAATAAGCTTCAAGAGAAGGCATGGATTTTAGGGTTAGGTTTGTGAATTCATGCTCAGGAGCAGCCGCCTATGAGCCTTTGTTATTCAAGAAGATGGATTTGATCTGGTTCCATGCTTCAAGGGCTATGGATTCCTCCTTAAGTACTCGAGACAAGAGATCTTCACAGAAAGTGTCGTATATCCACGGGAGGACTATGGAATCAGTTTCAACCCATGCCTCATACTTTGGGACGGTTTTCACTAGAGGTTCTATACCATCGACGTGGCTAAGAACTTTGTAACCATGTGCGCGAAGTTGGAGAAGTTTTACCTAAGTCGAGTAAGTGACTTTTGTACCATCAAGGATTCTGACCCTCTTTTGGATGTTGGTGACTGTATACACAGGATGAAGTGGGTTTGCCTTATTGGCGTTTTCTTTGTCGCTCATCATGATGAGAGGAGAAAAGGAGATATAAGGCAAAGGAGATACAGGGCAGGAGCTATAATAGCTCTGATACCATGTCAATTATCGTGTAATTGAATTGCTTGCTCTTCATTATTCACATCCCCCAATATATAGATACATAGTACAACTAATAAACATAGTACAACTAATACAGTGTAAAATACAAGGAAAGTAGATCTACTAAACTACTACACATATATATAGTAAGAATTGTGTGCATTAATAGTTTCTCCTTACAATGTAAGAATTCTTTGATACCAAGTGGCCATGTAATCAAGGTTGTAGAACTCGTTACTCGGTACCTATTCGACCGACTACCGAGTAGCGAGTACTCGGGAGTACTCAGGAGTACTCGGATTTGGTAATTCATGTAGAAATATTTTTAGAGAAATTATTTATATCAAAATCATAAGTTAAAACCATAACTTGATTGAAATATATAATAAAATTAGATAAATATGAATACACAAAAACTGAAAAAACACATAATGATCTCACTTCATGAGTAATTACTGAAAATTGAAGATATATACGTAGTAATAATCACATGTTTGTGTGTTAATTAATAAATCATTAAGTATATTATACATATTAATCACCGAGTTGACAGAGTTTTACAACATTGCTCAGTTCAGTAAGGGGCCGATCGGAGAGTACTCGGGATTTTGTAACTCGCCTCGGTAAGGGGCCGAGTAGCGAATACTCGGAAGAGTAATCGGACAACTCGGTGAGTTTTACAACACCGCATGCAATATAAGATCAATCAAATCAAACTTATAAGTAACTTTATGTAGGTTTGGCATCAATGTCCTCTTTGTCTTCGGTTTGTAGTTTTATGTTATAGTCCTTTGTGATTAATATGTTGAGTTGTTTAATGGGTAAAAAGGACTTACATTCCATACACATGCTAAGAACATAAAAGGGATGATACTATAATGTGTTCATTTTGTAAACATAACAAGAGTGACAAAACTCAACCAAAAACATACAACCAAAACACAATTCAAAGTAAACCGTATCAATACAAAATGAGTCACACGTATCATAATTGACCGTATATGATGAAAAACATAAGAAAGAAGAAAGAATACATGCAAAAAAATAAACTAGAAAAACAAAGGCCAAAAATACATACATTAAGATGAAGGTAGGTAGGTACATACTCTAGTAGACTTGGGTAACCTTGCTTGCAAGAACACGTTCTCGTCTTTCTACAAATTCAACAGGAAACCAACCTGCTTTCCCTTTGCATTCACCTTCAGCCCAACCATTGTTTGACACCTGTACATTTTTTTACCAGATACAAGTTTTGTAACCAAAATATTATTAAAGGAAACAATAACAACAAAGAAAATTCAAAAGGCATAGACCTTTCTGATAACGACATAGTCACCCGATGATAAATTGAGCTCCACATCAGACTCTGCATCATACGAGAACATTGCCTAGAAGGAAGCGTAAATGATATGGAGAATTAAGTTAGTTTATTAGTTATAAATTATAATAGACATATCAAGAAACAGTCAGTTTGTATGTATTAATGTATGCATGCATACCTCTCCTAAAAAGTAATTCCCCCCTTCATTTGAACCATTTTGCATTGGAGAAGGAGATGTGTTGTTATTGATTTCTTCATATGATGGAGGTGAAGGAGGAGGAGGAGGTGTTTCCATTTTTGGAGGAGGAGCTGCTTCAATTCGTTGGCGCTGTGATACCATCTACAAATTTCCCATTTGGAAAATAATAAAATAAAAATACTAAAAACAAAATTATTAATCTTGTTGCATAATGCATACCTCTCCTTCAAGATGATCAAGAATCTGAATAACCTTCTCATGATAAGCACGCTCCGATTCAATCTATCAAAAACACACATGTTTTAAAAAAATATATATACCAAAAGATATGAAAGTGATCCTAAAACATTAAATAAATGAAGAAGAATATTTTTACCATGGAAATGAGCCTCTGTAGTGTCATATTTTGTTGCTGAGCTTCAACTGCAGCCATTGCTGATGCAGCTTCCTTTCCCAATATTGACATGTTGGACTTCAAATCTTGTAATTTTGATTCGGCTGCTTCAAGTCTTGCAAATACTTCTGGATTCCCAGTTCCTTCCATCACTTTTGTTTGTCGTTTTGATACTTCAATCACCTACTTTCCAAATTTTAAGTTAAATAATTAGTGTCAAAATATAAAAAAGCATGTTGGTCCTCGACTATACTCATTTTTCAATTTTAGTTCCTAAAACTATATTTCTTCCAGTTTTTGTCCTCATTTGAGGTTTTTGTAACCATTTTGGTCTCTCATCCAATTAAAATGACTACTTTTATCAACTATACTCAGGGACCACAAAATAGTCACTTTACAAAATACAAGGACCAAAAATGTCATAAGAACAAAAACTACAAGATAAGGACTTTTTGGGACCAAAAATAGTCAGTTTACTTGGAACAAGGACCAAAAATGTTACAAGAACCTCAAATAAAGACAAAAACTGCAAGAGAAAACTTTTGGGGACCAAATATGTTACAAAAACCTCAAATAAGGAGAAAAAACTGCAAGAGAAAACTTTTCGGGACCAAAAATAGTCAGTTTACTTAACACAAGTATAAAGAAGTATGATAAGAAGTTAAGAACCTCAAATAAGGACCAAAACAGCAAAAGAAAACTTTTTGGGACCACAATTGCAAAAACCGGCAATACTCAGGGACCAAATATGTAATTTACTCAAGACAATATGAAACACCTGTGCTTCAGCCTCTTGTCTCATTCTGTCATAACGTTGAGCAAGATGTCGAGCATCTTCAAGAGGAGCTCCCATTACCATTGCTCTTAATGGCTCTGCAACCTGCACACCCCACACATGTTATTTACACCCCCTCAAAAATAAAAATAAAAATTAAAAAATATAATGTATTTTAAACCTGGGTCCCAAAAGATTTGAGTAGATTTTCTCGTTCCTTTTCCATTTGTGCACGGGCTCGTGAAAAGTTGACTGCAGCTCTTGATAGTGTATTACCACTAGTGCATGTATTCTCAATACCATATTTTCTGCTATCTTCTGATAATTTACTTCCTGTGAAAACATTCAGTTCATGTAAAAGCTTAATTACATCATGAAATTTAAAGGCATAACAAACTTGCCTATTTCAACTTGTTTGGAACTCGTTGCTATGTATCCTTCAACACCACGAACAATGTCTCTTTGAAAATGCTGAAATGCAAAAGCAAGTTAATTTCATCTTCAGAATAAAATCTTATAATTTGTTATATGTTTATTCTTGAGTTATTAATATACAACAACAATATGTGGAGAGAGCAACCTTAGCAGCACGTGTGGATATGTAAAGTCTTTCAAGTTTCTGGTGAAGCATGAGTTCTGCTTCATCTGTTACAACATTATCTGAACCACCATAACCTCCACCACCAAACTGCTTGAAAACCGCCTAAATTTTACACCAATTATTATGTAATTATGTATTGTGATAAGGTAGTATAATATCAAATGGGTTAACAAAGAATGAAGTATCTCAAACCAATTGCAGATATAAGCAATTTTTACATATGAGCATTTTTCATAAATAAGTTTTGTCCCCATTAAGTCAAAATGTAACAGCACTTTCGCTCAAAATGCAGCCTATATAATGACTAAATCGCAAGTGTTCCCTTTACTGTGTTTAAGTAACAAAAAGGAAGTACATAAATGTTTGTGATCGAGCTCACTGTTTTTTGAATCTACAGCTTTTATGAATTTGGACACCTGTTGTTAGGTTTATGCAAATAACTTTATATCACTTATAATTTTTAAAATACACAGGTCCTATAAGCATGAGAGTGTCTACTTTTTTAGTAAACACCAGGTGTACAGAGTTCATGGTTGTTGAATCACGCATTTGACCCTATGTGTAAGGGAAATTTCACTACCTCAATCAAAACTTCAAGGTTAAGCTACAAAGTTGGGGATTAAAGTACATTACCAGCGTATAAGAGAGATCGACACCGTTTCATCCAAATTAACCAAATCCAATATGATAAATCTTTTAGGCAAAAAAATATGCTAACTTCATCAAAACTTTTAACAAGTATTCATCCTAATGCTAGTTATGCAGATGCCAACTATTAGGTTGGTTACTTCATATATAACGAGTAGCTAATTAGATGAACTGGAAGAGCAATACTTTATCAGATTCATCGATATATCCTCGACAGTAAACAGTTGTGAATTATTATTGATATGAACGGATTTTGGGGGCAAAACCGAATCAGATTCAAATTGAAAGCAACGAATTTCTTGATTGTACCTGTTGTTGTCTGGCAACCTGTTCCCGGAGCTTCGTTGCTTGTTTCCTGATCGCTTCCATTCACGAATTGGCCAATAAAGGAAGAAATCAATGGATGTGGAAGTAATTTGACGGATTATCACTGGAGATTTATTCCTTTGATCGGATATAGATATTTATAAATCAAATTTCACATACGAATTGTTTCTTTCGTTTTACGATTTTGAATCGAGTTTCTTCTCGTTATGCTTTCAAATGAAATACGACCTCCCCGATCGAAGGCTCTAAAAATACTATTTTGCCCCTAAGGTTTTCCGTTTTTGTACCGAATGGATGAGACGTTTATGGTTATAAGATTTATAGCTTTGGCTTTAAATTAAAAGAAAAAATTACAACACTAGTCATTTTTTTCTTTAAAAAAAATGGTTAATAACTTATAAGAATTTTATTCGGTAATATTTAATTATTATTTATATTTAATTATTTATGTTTCTTTTGTACATATAATCATTAAATTTGTTATAGGTTATAATGATATTTTAGGTACATATAAAGAAGTTTAATGACATATGTTTAAAAGAAATTTAAGTGACTAAATATGTATATGATATAAAGTTTATCATCGTTTAAGTTATTAATCATTTTTATATAAGGGTAATTTCATATATATCATTCCAAACTTTAAATATTACATCAATATCAACAAGTGTCACTAAACTATATCGACTCTTCTAATAATTATGGAACTCTATCGGCCATTTTCATATATTTATGGTTCTTGAAATAGACACCTTCTTTAATGGTTCCCATCCCCGTCACTATGACCTATAATAATTACACCCAAACAACCACCACCACTGTCGCCTCCTCTACTTACTAATCCATATATGTCTTTCCTCCACAATCGAGTTCTCCATTTTTCATCTCTCCATGACCTCCACTATGCGTCATTTGTTCGTTTTCCGATTTCCCGATTTGTGATCAATTTATAGTACAAAATCAAACACATCAATTTAGTTTGGACCAGGCGTCTAGTTTTCATAAAGCAACTCAAATCACCGAGGAGCTCAAAGATATCGTGTAACGTCACAATGACAAGACCCAACATTTTCATTTTTAAATTAATAAAACCGGTATTCCCGAAACATCATCATAAAATTCCAGATAAAACAAATGTATCAATCATCACATCATATTAGACTAAATCAAGAAAATACGTACAAGGTGGTATGTGCTCTACAATCATCCCGAGCTCTTTCATTTGAAAACTGAAGTACCTAAAACATAAACTGATAATAGTAAGCAAAAAACTTCGTGAGTTCCCAAAAATACCACATATCATACATACATAGATAAACACATAGTGGGCCCCGCCTGGCATTGGGCCCCGCTCGGTATACAGATCGGGCTCGTTGGATGAACCCTGTTAACTATGGATTTAGTGTATGTTGTATAAACCATATCGACGATGGACTTCGTGCTTATTCCTCATGAAGAATCCTTAGGAATGAGTGATAGATGATTCTTAGGGTAGATGCTTAAAAAATAAAGACGATAATGGAGATGAGTAATTGGGTTAATTGTTTGATAATAAAACATAATAACTTTATTATTGTGGGTTGAAAACCCTATGTACTCATAGGTTTTCCAACCTGACCCACTCAGATTATTTGTATCATAGGTGTCGATATGAAGTTATATTACACTGAGAAATTAAAAGAGATGTAAATCACTAGTGTAAATGAAAACAGGGTCTCTTTATGCTTATGTTTTTGTATTGATGATGACATCCCAAATTTTTAATATCAATAAAATACATTTATTCGGAAATGCTTTAATAATATGTTAATCATGTTTTTTGAGAACAAATTCCGCAATATATTTCTTTAAAACTATACTCGGATTTTCAAATAAAACATAAACAAATCGGTATTTTTTAATCCTTAATTTGCGGATGTCTTATTGATAGATAAATGATTTTGTTTTTCTTATTTTACCCTAATTTATATATATATATATATATATATATATATATATATATATATATATATATATATATATATATTAACACATACTATAATATATATGGATGTCTCTTAAAACCAATAATAAAACATAATAAGATAAAGCAATAAATACAAATTACACGATGGTTTCCATATTTTGGTTGGATTTTTTTTCTTTAAAGAATTGGAAAAAGGCATGAGTAAGCATACGACCATACCACTATACCAGCTATAAGTCTAAAGAGCAACGACACAGTGCTTTAATTTGTCCGCCACGTGGAACTCCCAACATACATTGCCGGCTTCTCACTCTTGCTCACGTGCCACCATTAAAATATCTTCTGGCAGTCTAACATACCAATCATGTAATTTTTTTGAAGGATTATGGAATTTGTCATCGAAGTATTTTAATTGTGTATTTATTTGATCCGAGTTTAAAAGCTTTAACTTAGATCTAAACTAGTAATTAAGGTCGCATTTTGTCATAGGTTTTCAGTATTTCATTTTAACCATTGGTGTGTAAATGCTTGGCAAATTTGGTCCCTAGGGGGGCAGTTTTGCCAACTTTGAAAAAGTTGGAGTACGCTTGACATACTCCTTGTACGTTCGGCTTACGCATGCACGGGACAAACCCTAAATTTTAGGGTTCAAACCCTATTTAAACAACATCATAACCCCCTTATTCTCTCATTTCTCTGCCACCATTGCATTTCGAGTGTCACTTCGAAACTCTAGCCTTCCTTGAAGAGATTTACCCTCTTGAGTGTTTGTTTTAGTGTGTGTTGGTGAAAGTAGAAGAAGGGAAGCTTGGAAGAAGGAACTTTGATCAAAGGGAACTTGTAGATCTAGATTTTTCACATCATTTTCAGTTTCATTGGGGTATAAAGCTTGAAACTTGCTCCTGGTTTACTAAGATCTAGTATTTATAAAGTTTTGGACCCTTTTTGGTCATATTATGAGATCTTGTGGATTTATTCCACTCCAGGAGTTAGAAGTTGCTTTTTGATGTTTTTGAGGTCATTAGTCCATAAAGTTAGCATATTGATGGTTGTGGATCAACCATACATTAAATTCTTGATGTTAGAGGAAATCATGATTGAGGAGTTCCTGAGGTCACCATCTTTAATTCGGAATCTATTTGAGTTTGTTTGGTCTTTATCTGGAAGATCATAGGGTGGAGTTGATACGGTACCAATTCATTTTTCCTCTAAACCGTGTACCATACCAACTATAATTGGTATAAAAAAAAATTGCTACCGGTACTATACCAAGTATACTTGGTATCAATTTATTTGGCTACCAACAAGTTTGGTTGGTGCAAATTGGTATTGGTAATGGTATATACCAACTTCTTTTAATTTTCTTTTATAAGATTTAAAATTAAGCAAAGACATCAGGATTTTGATGTGTTGTATAAAAATTAGTTACATGGTTCTTTTAGTTTACAAAATAATTCTACTGAAGTAACGCTAAAGTAACGTTTTAATATTGTACTTTAACGTGGTAATAACTATTGACTAATACGACTAAATGACTAATATAATATTATTAAAACTGTGTATATATATATATATATATCAATTGAATTGGTTGGTACGGTATTATCATGGTATTCCAATTTTTGTACCATTAACGTACCAACATTAATCAATTGGTACGGTACTACTACCAACCAAACATGTTGGCTATCAAATATATTGGTGACCAAGTTTCTTGGTTCGGTTGGTAATATGTTGGTTGGTTTTCCATGGTACAATTTTGCCAGCCCTAGAAGATCATATTGAGTTGTGTTATACATCCCAAGGATTAGTCCATTAAGAATGTTGTATGATTGGGTGAGCTAAGTTGAATTTTGTTCTGTTTGCAATGTCAGTTGGTAGTAGTTCGAACCTTAAGTGGAGGAGAGCTGGATATTCTATTTAGAGGATTTGCGATCTATTCGAATTATGGTTTCAGAAGGATAAGTTATATGGAGTTGCAGTTCGGGTATGCAAAACTTAGGTTCATGATTTGGTCAAGATGGGGGTACATAGCAAGATGTCATCAGATGTATGTGTTAAAATGGATGTTTTATTTACTTTAAAAATAAATAATTTTGGGATGTTACACTCCACATCTAAAAACAGTCTCATAACATGTAGTATTAATATGCATTATAATATTCTTCTTCAACCTATTTTTATTTTACATTTTTGGTTCAATTTTTAGTTTTTGTGACAAGTTTGATCCATTTATATATATATATATATATATATATATATATATATATATATATATATATATATATATATATATAAAGTTTTCTCCAAACATTTTTTAGAATTTTAATTTTATGTTTTAAAACTTTATTTTTATACTTTAAAATTTTTTTATGTCTTTTTTACAACTTTTGTTTGTTATAAAATTTGTTTTCATTATATATATATATATATATATATATATATATATATATATATATATATATATATATATAAAAGATAAAACTGTAAAATTGATCAATGTGGTTTGTAAAAAATTGTGGGTAATGTTCAAAAAGTTTTCAACTTACACTGAATTATCAAAATAAGATACTTCCCAGGGTTTTAGTCTCTATAGAACTTGAAATGATTGTTTTACCCTTTTATTTTTATTTTTTTGTACTTCTTTTAATACTTTATCAATTAAAAATATTAAACAAAAGATTGGACCCACCCTATACCACCCCTACCATCCCTTACGCTTCTCTACATCTATTTCTCTCTCTCTTTTTTTTTTTCTCTCTCTCACCCACACACACCCACACACTAGACATTTAACCCAATATGATCTTCATCAAACTTCTTTAAGTTCTTCCACCAATATGTCTATTTTCACACACTAAAACTTAAACACACATAAAAAAACTCCAACTAAAAATCGTCATGTGTGAGTTTAATGTTCTTTGGGTTCTTTTAATTTTTAGTATGTGTACGTGCGTGTTTTTCATTTTTGGTGTGTGTTTAGTTTTATCAGTTGTCAACAACCCTTGAAGTTTAGACCAGTCGAGACTAGAGATGTTTATCTAGATCATTCTTTCCCTCACTCGATCTATATTCTCCAACGATTTTTTTCTCATCCACTCTCTCTAATTATTAAGAAACTTCAGCGATTTCAAGGTTTTTTGCGGAGAGAGTAGAAGAAGTTTTCAGCGAGGAGACGGTACCAACTTTTACAGACTAGGTGGAGCTTGTGGTGATCGATTTTTAGGATGCAGATTAAACAGGAGGATGGCGAGGCTGTCAGGCAGCACATGCTGGAAAGGAGATTGGTTGCAGAATTTGTCTCGTTGGGTGGATTGATGATTTGATGTTCGACTGGAGACAAAGCTTTGAACTGGGGACATATATTTTTGCTCTCACGATTGTTTTCGAAACTGTTGTATCCACCTGTGAAAAAAATCATCATCTCCAATGGGAACAGATGGGCATAACCGTCATGATCAAGAAAAGGAAGAAAATCTACCCTAATAAATAAAAATGATTTTGCCACATGTCCTTCTCTCATTCAATTTGCCACATATCATTTTGTCATAATTTAAAAATATATTTATTTTCCACTTGTCATTTATTTCATTTTCCATTTCAAATGTATTATTAATTAGTTTCCATAAATTAAACCTACCATAATGATATTAATTTTAAATTTTAAATTTCAATTTCAATTTCAAATAAATTTACAGTTTAAACCTTTATGTTTAACATTTTGTTATAATTAACCTGTTTAGTATATAGGTCTGATAACTAAACAATAATTTTAATTTATTTATTTTTTGCATGTTTTTTTTCTCATAATTTTTATTTATTTTAAATTTCGAATTCAAATAAACTTCTCATTTAATCGTTTATATTTAACATTTTGTTTTAATCAACCCGTATAATATACGGGTTTCACAACTAGTGAGATATAAATTTAGGATCTTTACTAAAACAATTAAATAAAAGTCATGGGCGCCACTATTATGCCTTTTCTTGTGTTAAGAGAGAGAGAGAGAGAGAGAAAGAGAGAGAGAGAGAGAGAGAGTATTTTTTTTTTTAATTTTAGGTTAAAACGATATTAGAATAATTATAAAAAATACAATTTTTTTTTGCATAATCGTCTTTTCAAGTATTTTTGGATTAAAAATCTTTTTTTTTTTTTTTTTGATTTTGTCTTTTCAAGTTTTTTTTGGATTATTATTTTTTTTTTTTTTTAACTTTCTATGAAGGGATTATAGACTTTCTATGTAAAAAAAACTATTTGGATTATATTCATAGTTTTTTGCAAATAACAAAGACAAATTTTGCAGTTTTGTCTTTGTTAAATTATATTTTTAAATTACTTTATAATGATTTCAGGAAAAAAAATTGTTTTTAGAGAATTAATATTTTAGAAATCCTTATATCATTGTTTTTATGCATGGAAAATTAATTCAGACCAAATGATAAAATATTAGGAAGGTTAGCATGGGAAATGTCTACTTAAGTAACTTGTTCGCACAAGGAAAAGTCGTCAAGAATGATGGACCCACGCGCTTTTGTCGTCAGCGCGTGACTTCGTATAGAAGGGAGCCAGGAAGGCGGCGCAATTAACGCGGTAATATTATGTATTTCTGTAAATAAGGACAAACCAAAGGGCCATTTTAACGTATACTTGTGTAGTCAAATATTTTGATTTTTGAGTGGCCCAATTGCATTTTTCCAGAATATTTTGTGGCTTGAACGAAAACCGGGGGGCGTGACCACGACATATAGCAAACAAATATTCGTGCAAATATTCTGTAAATTAAAGAAAAACATTGTTATTAAAAATAAAATAACTTTATAATAATTCTAACTATATAACATCTATAAAATATTATCGTAGTAATCAATGGAGTTTAATTTTTCATTGATGTCCCTTTTAATTTAAATCGTACATTTAGTAGCAATCATATTTTATTACTTGTAGATAAAATTATACAAATGATGCTTGTAGTTGGCAGAAAAGACCACTGTAAGATGAATTTTTAGAATTAATTCATCTTTTCTGGTTTAAAATGAATACACTCGGTTATTTTCAACCAACCACGATGACTCATTATGTGTTTTTAAATCTGAAAATTACTTATCATTTGCTTTTTAAACCTGAAAATGAACAACCATTTTCAAAATTTGTAATTTTACTCGATTTATCTTTTTATTACATATGATTAAAATATTATTATATTTATTATAACGTATTTTCGTTTTAGACTTCTTGGATCGGTCACCGTAAAAAGCATTATTGCTCCTTTAGGGGCCAAAACTAAAAGTTAAAAAGGAAAGTAGTAACGGGACTGGAATATGTTTCACATTTTCCATATCTTTCACTTATAATATTTTTTATTTACTTTTTGATGTAAATAATTTACCTTACTTGTTTGCCTAACGTGTAGAGAAAAAGCCTTTTTTTAAGAGCGGGAATGTAGAGAAAAGAACTTCAACTATTTGAGTTGAGCACTTCATAAATTGATTTATCAATTTTAAATATATATATTTACCAACTTGTACCATAACTATAAATGTGTTGTACTTCATATGGATATGAAGGATTAAATTATTAAGTGGAATTATCACTTTCCATTTGAGTTAGCTCGATTCGATTGATAATTTTTAAAAAATGTATAAGATAAGTATTATGAAAAGTGCATTTCCACTTTCAAAATACTTATTCATTTTGTTTTTATTAATTGTTCATGTTCTCTTGTTCTATCTAATTCTACAATTTATGAAAAACCTATAAATCCTTAAGATAGTAGTGACATAGTGTCATTGTCTTAAAAAGAAATTAAATATGTATGAAATACTCAAAATCCTACTAAAATTTGATCAAAAAACTCGAAAAGTATCATCACAGACGGACAGATAAACCAAACTGATTAACAAATATAGGGTTTTTGACACTGTAGCATATCAATGTTTGATCAATTTGCACATTTAGTTACTAATTTTTTTTGTACTCAATTGATCCTTAATGTTAGTAAATACCGACTAATTACCCCCTTATGCACCCGATAAACGGAACAATCGGTGATATTGCTTATGTGGAATAAATTTACATTTTATATGTCATTTATTTTATCCACATAAGATTTAGAAGTCAAATAAACACATTTATTTAGCCAGAACTACACGTCTTCGTTCTTCCTTTTTCTCATCTTACAGTGAATATGAAGCACTAAACCTAGGTTCGAAGTCGTTTTCTCCGATCGAAGTCAGTGAGCAGTCAACCAACCCACAATGTCTAGCTCGGCGCCAAAACCTGATGGACTCCACCCTATAGTGGAGTTGAACTTCAAAGGTGTTTTTCTTAGAAATCCTTTCTCGTATAACCATGGTATCAATCCCATTTTCAATGATCACGATTTTTCTGGAATGACATATGGTGAATGTATCACCTTTTTCAAACGGTTCATGCAAGAAAGTATAAAGAAGTTATACTATTGTAAACCAGGTAAGCCCTTAATGTTTGGGATAATTTCTGTCGCTAAAGATGAAGACTATGGTGGTTTCATTTTTCAAGCATATGGGACAGATGGTAAACTTTATATGTATGTAGACCATGATGGTCAAGGAATAGAAGATTGGTTTGGTTCTGAAATAGAAAAGGAGGATGGAGATGATTCATGCTTTGATGGTGGTGAGAATGAGGACGAAATTGATAACCTAACAGATTTAGATGTGGACTTTAATGAGGACATAGTCACTACGAATAGGACAAAGGGTGATGAATTTCTAAATAGATTATGTGGCAAAGAGGAAGAGGGAAATGATAACAACATAGATGATGATGATGATGGGCGTGAAGAGGATGCCAATGTAACTCAAAAACATTCCATTTTTAATGAGTTTGTTCCATGGAAAAAGCAGTTCCCAATACTTGGTATGCGGTTCAAAGATCCAACTCAATTAAACTTAATGTTATGCAACTATGTTGTTGCGAATGGGTACCAACTTGGCTTTGAGAAAAATGATAGGAAAATATTGTTGGTTAAGTGTTGCAAGGGTGAGTGCACATTCAGGTTGTGGGAGTCGTGGATGAGTGATGAATCATGCTTCCAAATTAAGTCTTTAAAGCCAATCCACAAATATGCAAGGAACTACAAGTTACGGTCCATGGTCACTTATGCTTTGATAGGGAGTCATTATACAAGAGAATTCTTACTTAGACAAAAGATGAGTGTTAAAAAGCTAAGAATAGTTATGTCACAGAATTTTGGTATTCATGTTAGTGTTGGTTAATGCTTGAGAGCTAAGAAATATGCACTCCAACTAATAGATGTGACCCTAGTTGAACATTATGCAAAGTTATAGTCGTATGCAGAAGAGATTAGGAGATCAAATCCAAGTAACACTGTGAAGCTTGATGTAAATCATATGCCAAATGCGAAGAACTACTTTAGTAAGTTCTATGTTTTCTTTGATGCATTGAAGAAGGAGTGGAAGGAGGGATGCAGAAAGATAATAGGTTTAGATGGTTGTTTCCTTAAAGGGATCTGCAAAGGGAGTTATTATGTGTTGTTGAAAGGGGTGCCAACAATGGGATTTATCCTATTGTATGGGCAGTAGTATGTGTGGAATAAGGAAAATTGGAGGTGGTTTTTGGATTTACTCATCGATGACTTGGGACTTAACTTAGGCTATGGATACAGTGTAATATCAGATCAACACAAGGTAACTTAATTGATTGTAATTAATTTTCCTATCTATTTGCATCCTTATTCACAATATTTTCTATTTGTTAACAGGGTTTGATTGAGGCTGTGAAAGAACTCCTTCCATATGTTGAGCACATGCAGTGTGCCAAGCATATTAGCCAAAACCTTAGGAAAAGGTATAACGGTGACCAATATGAAAACATATTCTGGAAGACATGTAAAGCAACAACAGAGGTAGATTTTAAGGTTGCCATGAAAGAGCTTGAAGTGCTAGACCCAAGTGCTCATCTGTATTTGATGGACAAAGACCCCAAAACATGGTCAAGGGCCTACTTCCAACCAGGAAGATGTTGTGATGCTATGGATAATGGAATGTCAGGAAGTTTTAATGTTGTAATTGTTGATGCTAGGAAGAAGCCAATTATCACCATGTTAGAGGATTTGAGGATGTATATGATGGAGAGGGTGTTCAAGAAAAAATGCAAACGTCTAGGATAAGCAACCAAATTTGTCCAACAATTAGAGAAATAGTGAATGAGATTAACAAGTGTCTAAGACATTACCAAGTCTTACCTAGTGGACTAAATCAGTTTGAAGTAAGAGGAACTATAGATGCTTATGAGGTGGATCTTGAAGAAAGAACTTGCTCATGCGGGCTTTGGCAGCTTAATGGAATCGGTTGTGTCCATTTTGTTGCATCTATTAGTTATATGAATAGGGATGTAGAGTAATATGTGGACAAAATGTTTAGTAGCATCACTTACATGAAGACATACAAGTTTAGGTTAGCACCTATGAATGGAAGTAATTTGTGGCCTGCAACTGATTACACTCCACCTTTACCTCATGTTCGTAGAACTATGTCTGGGAGACCTACAACTAAAAGGAAAAGGGATGCAACAGAAAACCCAAACCAGTCAAGTAAAAATTCAAAGAAAACTACCCAAACACAAAACAAAGGTAAGGAGCGGGTGAAGGTATCCAAGGCTAGGAAAAAACAAAAATGTAGCCCTTGTAAGATTGAAGGACACAACAAAATAGCTTGTACTTTGACAAGGCCTCCTAAAATCAAAGCTAGAAGAAAAACAAAATAGATAAATAAGTATTTAAATGGTTAATCTTTACAATTTCTTTTTAAATTTCTAATAATGTTTCATATTGGTCAAACAAGGTGTAGCTGAAACACTCAAGGAGGATGATGAAGGTAATCAAGTTAATGCAATGAATGAAGGTAATGAAGTGAATGGGGGTGAGCAAGCAGTAAATGATGATGGAGGAGTAGTAAATGATGGTGGAGAAGCAGTCAATGAGGTGCATATGCAACAAGACTATGATGAGGTGGAACTCATTCCTTTTGAGTTTGATGCATCAGGAAATGGAGAACCTAGTCAAGTTCATGTGCAAGAACATGAGGCTAGAGAAACACCAGGTGCAACCTTATTTAAGAAAATCAAGAGGAAGAGATCTGAAAGGATTATCAAGTTGAAGCTGGGCAAGAAAGTTGGTGGTGCAGATGCACCTGGGAATTCAGAAGCTAAACATGTTACTTTAGAATAACTTTAAGTGTTGGTTTATGTGATATGAACATGGTATGTAGTGTGAAATGATGTGTTTTGGTGTAGTGTTGATGTTTTTATGAAATTGCTATTAACTATGTTAGTTTGTATGAAACTATGTTGGTTTATGTGATGTGTATTTTGTGTTGATTAAGTTGGTTGTTATTTTGAGCTTTTTGTTGCGTTAATTTGAAGTTGCATGCATGGCAATGACTTGTCTAGTTAAACTGCATGGAAAAGGAATATATTTGCATATATAGATAATTTTAAATTATCATTGATTATGTCCTTATATACCATGTGTGGTCAGTGGTCCATAATGCACTTTTCCATATATACCCCTGTAAAGAACTCTAAACACAATGCCCTTTTAAATGGACCAAGTGAGTTCCTTATGGCCGAAAATGTGGTACCCACACTTGAATTTTTAAAAGGAGCACATGCATATTATAAAATTTAGCAAGGTATATAACAACTAGTATATTTCATATCATTCATTGAATCTACACAAAGTCATTACAATTGTTCCCATGTACTGCCATCCCATTACATCTACATTCCATTACATCTAAGATCCCATACAAACACTGATCAAATAAGCATTCAACCAAAAACCTGACTATACATTACAATTAGGATCTAGCCATAACCATGTAGCCACACACCCATACACCTATACATTTGCCAAAAAAAAAAACAACTTTTAACATCCATCAATACACTTTCCAAAAAACTTGTTGGAATTATATACCATCAACCATAAACACCTTTTTGACCAACTGCACTTTTCAAGGCCATTTCAACCACATGGCAATGACTACAATGACCATAACAAAGATCCCACACTTCAACATTCTGTTTTGCTTCATCAACTCTATCAACTATGTCTCAAACACTTGCTTATCTGCTTCCATAGCTTGATGTAGCTTAACCAACTTCTTATGAACCTTCAAAACTTCACTAAACTCTTCTTTCCTTTTCAACTCAAACCTCATCTTGGGAAGCTGTTCTTTATAGTACCATCCTCCATTTCTTTGACTTTCCACATAAAAAAAACTTGCATTTTGGACCTTCAACTGACTAATTAAAAGGGAAAACTAGAGTTAGGGTTAGGGTTGCAATTAATGAAAATGTGTACATTCCCAGCTCAAAATAACAAATAGGGTGTAAGTAAACAAAAGGAATACTCACTAAAGATTTTTTACAGTTCCAAAACCTGTGAGCTACATTATCGTCGGTCCAGGAAGTCCTTTCCATGCTTATTGCGTCTTAAAAATCACAAGGTGGACAGGGGTCATCATCACGAAGGTTTCCGACATGCATGAGGTTGATCGATCGACTGTAAGAGGCAGACATTTCTCTGGTTGTATCGATTAAGTGTAGAGTATCGGGAGGGAGGCACTGACCTAATTTGGGGTAACAATGTATCGTCGATGGTTGAATATAAGGTTCAATTAAGGAAGGTTTTCACATTAAAGATGACATGGTCAAATGCTTGTCCACATAAGCCAATACACGTCAGCGATGACCCTTAAACTGGTAACATTTTCTCTCATTCCTTTAATTAGCTGGTATTTACTAACCTTAATGATCAAGTGAGTACAAAAAACTTTAGTGACTAGATGTGCAAATTGACCAAACATTGATGTGCTATAGTGTCAAAACCCCACCAATATACTAGAACTCATCTTTTGATACATTTGAGACAACAAAAATATGTCATTTTACTTTTTGAACATTTTTTTTATTTAGAAACTTTAATATTGGGGTTTTAATTACTTTTTAATAAATTTAATTATTATTTTATTATAACATTTTCTTTATGGTTTTAAATTTTTTAGGGGTTGAGACTAATATAAATAGCATGAACCTCTTCGTATCATTAGGTTAAATAAAGTTTGATTATAAAAAAATTGAATTTTGATAACTCTTAAAGCATAAAGCTTCTCAAGAGTGATTTTTTTTCTGGTGTCCTGGTATTACATTCCATAATTTTCATATTATTTGGTATTAGAGTCCAATTACAATATCTAAACATTCATGTGATTTCAAGATTGAGAGACGATATATTAAGATCAAGAGGTGAGGTATGGAGATCGAAAGACTACTTTAAAGGGCATGTAAGCTTGTGTTCTTAGTAGGCCTGTCAAATCGGGTCGTCGTGTCGTGTTTTTGTCTGACACGACAATATTTTTTGTAATACGAACACGACACGACACGATGTCGTTTTTTTTTTCACTAACACGAAAACGAACCAATTAAAAAACGACAACACGACACGACACGACAAAGATAATATTACATAACTGTTATTTTATTTAATTCATATTTAATCATATATAACACGATAAAAACGAAAAACACGAAAAACACGACAAACACATGCTCAATCGTGTCAATTTCGTGTGGATTTGTAAACACGAACACGACACGACACGACATCGTGTTTTTTATACTTGACACGAACATGACACGAAAACGAATTCGAATTTTGATTTCGTCCCAATTTCGTTTCGTGTCGTGTATTTTTGTCGTGCCGTGTCATAAATTGACACCCCTAGTTCTTAGGATTAGACATTGAAGAAATCAGATATAAACCACGTGTAAAAGATACAACAAATGATGACCTTAGTCGATAGAGAGTATCAACAAGGCTATCAAGCCTATCATTGTGGTAACCCTTTACGTAACATGGTTTTGAAGAGGAAGGAGAAATATGTAACTCATAAGCGTTATAAGTTTGACCAAATTGTTATTGTTATTATTATTTTCAATTAATGCATTCCAAGACTATAGGCACTGTTATACCAACGACACGTGTCATGACTAAAAATGAAGTTATACAGACGACGTGTCATCGGTATAAAGTTGACAATAATTATTTGACCCGATGATTTATCCCGACGATTTGTCGTCGCCTTAACATAGACAAGAAATGAAATGTCTTTATGTGGTTTTCTGAAAATCTATCCCGACGACATGACGTCGGTATAGGTCCTAAAAATATATTTTCATTTTATTTAAATAAATACTATAGAAAAAGAAAAAACGATGTCGTTGGATGAAAGTTATCTCGACGGCATTTCGTTGGTATAGACTGACGATCTGTAGGTACTCTATCCCAATTATATGTCGTTTGTACAAAGTTCATTTATCAAAATGATTGATAAGTTATTTTTTACCCCAACATATAGGAACAAGTCGGCAAAAATTAATGGTAAGATGGCTCTACTTACCCCTATAATTGCTCATGGAAGTTGTTCTTATGCTTAAATACGCTATAAGAAGGTAATAAATTCTATTTGTATTGTATAAAATATGTATTAACGTTTATATAAAAATATTAATTGTTTTGGCTCATTATAGAGAGAAGACAAACAATATCCGCAACATATTCATGGTTGGTTGGAGAAAGATGCGTTTTAGAGAAGGCTCGGGTTGGTGTAATCGTCGAGCATAAATGGATTGTATAAGTAATTAACGAGATTTATGTTGTTTAAATATGTATTGTTATTTTAGCTTAATGTATATTATTATTATTTTTTTAATGTTTAACTTAGTTTTTGTTTATGTTTATTGTTTTCTTTGTTTTAGGAAAAGATCTGTTATTTAAACAAAATGCTAGAAGTGGTTGGTGAGGAATCGATAAATATTATTAAGATTTTTTTTTGAGAAATTAAATAATCTAACTGTTTTTTAACGTGTACTTGAAGAAAAATAACAAAAATAAAAATTTATCAAAAAATAAAATATAACATCCCAAAATTAAGATAATTTTTTTTAGTTTAATTATAATAAAAACCATCAACCCAAACGGTTTACAAACCATACAATAAAATCAGAGTATGTGTAATGCCCGTAGATCCAGGCTAATCAATTTAGAGATAATAGGGGTCGACAATGACTTTTTGACAAAAGATTATTTAGAATAAATAATCTTAACCAAGTTGTATAATATGTCTCAAGGGTTTCGTACATATAAAGAGCGCCGAAATCTGAATTATAACGAATAAGTTATGACCCGTCGAAGTTTTGCGACGGAACCGGCACGGCACCACGAAGACGTAAATAGTGAATTTATGATAGAGCGACCCTTAGCCTTAGTAGTCTAAATGAAAGTCGTAGAATATGTTAACCTGAGAACGTCCATAAAAAGAACGCCCAAATCTGTATTCGTATGAGGAAGTTATGATTTTTCGAAGTTTCGGTTTAGCGGTGTACAGCCCGAAGTTCGAGTACGACACAACCTAAACGAAAATCGAAGATCTCATTATTAGTAGCGTAACCATAAAAAGACAGACGAAAACGGACATCGAATGAAGAAGTTATGAGATTTTAACGGACTAATCATGTCTCGACCTGTTAAAAATATAACTTTAAAAATAAAGTCAAAATTAGCCGATGGAGTCTAAACGAAAGTTGTAGAGTAAGTCTCCACCTACGCGTGGATATAAATAACGTAAAAAACGGAGTTCGTATGAACGAGTTACAAGTTATAATAGCATATTTACGTATTAAAATAAAGTATAAATCATATATACGTACACACACACACACATATATATATATATATATATATATATATATATATATATATATATATATATATATATATATATACATATGTATATATCATTAGAAAGGTATCGACGATGTGCTCATTATAAGACTAATGTTGGGTTCTTTCGACATTAGTTTAGTACAAATATCATTAAATCCATTTAAAATAATATTATAGAGTGGTGTTTAGTTCTTTATATAACTAAAATATCATTAAGTAATTATGGATGGTAGTTTTTGAAAATTCAATTAGTATAAATAAGAGTCTTAGGCTCTCATATTTCTTGCACCATTCTCTTGATTCAAGATTCTTTCTCTCCTTATCCCACGAGCATTTCGGCCCCTTGTGATTCGACTTCTCTTTCTGTAGTTTTTAGTATAGTAATGTGAGCGTTGAAGCGCTGCACGAATCTTTCTTAGAAAGATTCAGCGACGAAGTTC